TTGCTATTGCTATTGCTATTGCTATTGCTATTGCTATTGCTATGTGCCTCTAACCCGGGCCTAACCTCACCATGTCCTAAAAGCAAACCTTTGCAATTTCTATATATGAACAGTTAAAGCGTAATATCATGAGACCCTAGTTTGGTTCAGGCTTAAGGCCTACCTTGGTTCAGCCTGCCACCTCAGTCAAACTGAAAGATCAAAAGCTAGCTACATCTGGAGAACTATGGGGGATCTGGTGCTTCTTTTATGCACCATCTTCAGCAGAAAAGAGGAAGAAGCCCTTGGAATCATCTGTCTTCCTAGTCTTATCCAGAGGACTTTAGGATTGCTTTTCAGAGTTTAAGAAATGTGTGCAGACTAAATTGCATGCTTACAATATACCGTAAGTATAATTTGCTTTTCAATTATTGCTGAATTTTGGAACATGCCGTTCCTTTTCATTGGTTATCTCTTGCAGCAAGAAATATGGCAGTGTGGCCAGTTTTGTAACTGAACATTTGAGTGGTTCGTAAGTGATAGGTAGTAGTAGTAGTACCATGCCACCAGACCTGGAATGAGTTGAAGAAGAGTTCACAGTGCATCCGGATCTCCCAGCCCAACCCAGTGAAGGTGTGAGGTAGGCACACAAAGACAATGTAATGCACGCCAAAGACGAAGGTCAAAATTAAAGTGGATTTTGCTAGTTTTCTGGAAGAAAGTTAAGAGAAATTATAATTAGGAGATGCTGCATATGATGAACATGACATAAACAGCAATCTTACACATTCCAGGTTTCTTAGCTATGAAGGGTATTTGCCAAACGGCAATGTGTAAGTTTGGACAAAGCAGAGTCACTTCTGTGGAAGCTCTACCTCAGTTCCCCCTTTTTGACTTTGTGGACAAGTGGGGTGGGGGTAGTGGAGGGAGGGGATGGTTCTGCGCGTGTGGTGGGCAAGCACATGCACAACTCATTTGCATGAGCACCAGGCACGTGTGCCTGCCACACGCACAAATGGAGCATGTTCACATGCTGCTTGTGCAAGTTAAGGAGCTGAGGTGGCGCAGTGGTTAGGGTGCAGTACTGCAGGCCACTTCAGCTGACTGTTATCTGCAGTTCAGCGGTTCAAATCTCACCGGCTCAAGGTTGCCTCAACCATCCATCCTTTCGAGGCGGGTGAAATGAGGACCCAGACGGTGGGGGCAATTTGCTG